TAATTCTTGCTCTATCGTTAACTCATCTGGTAGTGAGACTGTGGGCACACTCTACTTTGAATCTGGATTTCCTCGTCGGTTTAAAGATACACACATACAACCATAATTCACAGGGCTATAAGAGGGTGAAATGTGGTAATGCTGTGAGGTATGTAGGGCAGTGCCAGTGAGCATTCAATGCACTACCGATTATAATGATAATTACTGGTGACCTTTCCTTGATTTCCTCATCTAGACCCTTCCTGTAGTGACTCTTACCAAGTAGGAGACCACGTTCATGCTGTCCAGCCTCACTGCATTGGACTCTAAGAGAGTCAGACTGGCTGATGACCTCTCCATGAAAACATCCCCATGGAAACCCACCCATTTTGTCAGAGAGATGTACACACTGGGTCTTAGCTGGATTCCCAGGGGTGTCCCCATTCCCATCTATACCCATCACTGATACCCTCACCCCAGCTCTCTTTGCCTAGTCCTCTCACTGCAAGCCTCCACTCCTTCAGAAAGAGTCATCTGTGAAAATGTTGCACCAGTGGCCACTGGAGACAGAAGAAGATGTATTTCTTAATTATAGTACAATCGGCAAGTCTCCTCCTCAATGACACCTCTGTTATTATCACTACGACATTGGTATGCACTGGACAATCATGTTCAGGGATGCTGCACACAGGTATGCATGCTATGCACTGCACAACTGAGAGGTGTTGTACATGATGTAGGGCCTAATTGTATATGGCAGCCCTACTGCATGTCGTGGGCAAGTATACAGATCAAACTGATCCACGTTAATGTGTTGCAGCGGACCTGTGAGGTGACACATAGCAGTCAGACTTGTGAGACTTGTGAGAGCCTGCATGTCCCAAAAGTATCTGGGAGGCCTGCTGCCCTCGCTTTAGGGACTGTGAGTTCCCTCCTTGTCTGCAGGGAGTAGAAGGACTGACCTCACAGTCGCAGTCCAGCTCTCTAGCCTCACTTCATTCTCATGAACTCTATGGTGGTCCTCCACATTTTTATTCCTCTCATGCTTTCTCCCAAGGACCTGGTTTCACTCAGCAATATTCAACAAAGGCTCATCTGAGCATCCAAATGCACAAATTAGGGTATGCACATAGGTTCCCTCACTCCATAGATAAACCTTAACACTTATCATTTTAAAATGGACAGTAAACAAATAACTGCACAATTTATGAATGATTTAGTTACAATTCGATCATCTTGGCTCACACCTGATTCACATTTTTAAAAACTTCATTTGTTCAACAATCTCAACAACTTTAGAAGACATTTTGGTAATTGATGCAAGTCTTCAGCTATGGCGTTCTAGATTTGGCTCCACCGGTTTTCATTCAAGTGCACAACCACCGCGCCACAGCCCTGGGGCAAGGCAGCCTTAACCCTTCCTGAAAAGTGTTTAATGCAATGCCCCTTAGTCCTAGTCACAGCCTCTCTGCCATCTGTCCCCATAAATTCCAGACTCACTGGACATTCCCTTTGCTAGGGCTGGATCGAACCCATGCCGTAGAGAAGCTCAGTTGCTTGGAGTCAGTCTTCCTCACCACGCACGAGCAGCCGTCTCACGTCCTCTCTGGACATTCAGATGATGGCCCATGACTCGGATTCATCCTCCACAGTCCTACTCATCCGTTCTACTGTCCTCTTCCAATCCAATCCAACCCAAACCCAGCATTTCCCAAATTAGTCTCCCTAGAACCTCCTTCATCACCCACTCACTTGGAAACTTCCAGGAGTTAATTTTCTATAGTATAAAATCCACACTGCAGCCCCTGGATCTCTAATTTCCAGATTGAAAACTCAGTACTTACCCTATGAATCCATTCCCCAACAGGTTTCTCTCTGCCTTGCTCTCAAGAGATGCCACACAGATTGTCTGCCCATCTGAGGACGCTACATTGCTCAGGGGCCCTGGGCCAGGTCCCTATCCTTAAGTCTCTTCCTGCCATCACACCTCACCTTCGCCCATTTTCAGGGTCATCTGCTCTCTAGGGCCTCACTTAGCTCTTTGGTGTCCAGCCCCCAATCACTGAGGAACATCACATATCTGTGTCCTAGATAATAGACCCTGATGGCAGGGACTGGGAGGCAGGAGCAGGGCATTCTCTCAGCCCCCACCATAATCAGGGGCCCAGAATCAACTCCATCCCTCCTGCACCCATCCCAGCCCTCCCGCTGACTCTACACTCAGCAAATGACTGGTTCCTTTGCAGCTTCTTTGATAGGGCCTTGTATCATTGGAAGGCAGTGACATGCTGGTTAGTGGTAAACTACCAGTTCTCTGAAAAACAAACCCCCAATATCTCTGGTCTGCAGCATTTGTGGATTCTCATGCTGCAGATATGCCTGCCAGGGTGGGTGATGAGCTACCAACGTGATGTGACTGGACATGGAGTGGGAAAGCAATGTGCACAGTGGGAGCTCACTCCTGCACACCACTGCTGGAAGGGCATGCTCATTTTCCGCCATCGATAAAGGGCTTTCCCTCCCTTTCACTGCCTCATCTGCCTCTGCATTTCATCCCCCACTCCCCCCAAAGCCCCAGTTCTACTAGTTTTCATAATTTAAGGCTCACACCTTAAGCCTCCTCCTAACATTCTTCTGCGTAGGTCCACCGCGTGTGAATGGAAGAAGAAAGAAGGTAAGAAGGGAGGAAGGGAGGGAGGCAGGCACGGAGGGGGGTCAGGGAGGGATGAGCAACGATTCCCGCTTCCTCTGGTCATGTTTTCCTGCCGTTCTGCAACCCCATTTGAAGCCCTGCTCTAAATCTTCAGTGCAAATACAAATGCACTGTCTGAATCCGGCCTCATACAATTTCTTTAAAAACAAACAAACCCCCTTGATTATCACACCAGCTCTTGGGGTACAAAGCAGAGTCCATTTCAGTGAGAGTAGGCTGTGAGGGAAGAAGCAAAGGTGTCGTGACAAAGGAGGTCAAAGGTGAGAAAAGAAAAGTCAGGTCCAGCCAGGAGTACTGGCTGTGAAGCCTGGGTGTCATTACATAGAGCGAATGGGCAGGCCTAATGATTCCTTTGGGGGTGCTCTGAATCACGAGCGATACGTGTCCGGTAGAGGGTGGTCAGCAGTAGCTGGGCACGAGTCTTTGTGCCATGCTGTTGGGCATCACAGTAACTGCTAAATGCATTGATTCTCCCCCAATAGCATGTGAGCCACACGGAGGATGGGATCTTCTCTGAGCAGAATGCACAAACAATGCTATACACATATGGAAGGTGAAAGATGGGGCACGGCCATCAATTGTCTCTTGATAGGCACCTAGCGGTTGGTGAGCTCACTCCAAATTGTAACTCCCTGACAGGGTCATAAAGTGAGAGGACTCTTTACGCCTCCCCTGACAAAGGCAGGGAGGGGCTGACGTGTGCTCTCTGAGATGAAATGCAGTCCAGAAACACTGCTTTAAGCACGTGACATAAATAACAACATTAAAACCACCAGCACCATTACCACATGCCATAACGACAATTAATAATGAGGGGACACAGAGTGCAGGACTAAAAGCCCACCTCCCAAACACTCTTTCCACTTTACAGGAGAAAGCTGAGCCCCTAAAGAGTCATCCAATTTATCTGGCACCCAGCCTTCCAAGGCATGATCCTTAAATATGTCAGCGTCCAAAGGGGAAGAAAAAATCATTTGCACAGAAGCGAACGTCGTGGTGCAGTAAGTATTTAATGAAAGTCAATGGGAACGAGGTATGGGCTCACGTGGATCAGATTACAGTCAGGCAGCTGCAACTCCTGAGGAGTTGGTGGGAGAGCTGTGTGGCCTCACAAGGAGGGTCCCAGCACCCCCCCACCACAGCGATGCTGGTACGCATGCTAGCAGCACTTCAAGAGCATGAACAAGGTAGCCTAATAGGGCAACTTTCAAATGTGACTTCCAATTTCCCAGATGGCTTTTTGACCCCACAGCGCATTAAGAGAATCAGTGAATGGAAGGATGGTGACATGCCCTCTAAAGATAATATATGAACCATCTGTCGGCAAGACTTTGACGAAGTATACTGTATTGACTTAAAATATCACAGTGAGACGGGCAATTCCGCGGGCTCCAAGATATTTACATGAGTCCAGCGTTTCTCGACGTAGGAGGTGGACTGCACATGTAGGGAAGGAAGACCGAACGAGAACTGAAGGAGAAAAGACAAACGATGTTGCAGAAGAAAAGACAAATCAGGAAGACGACACAGAGCAAACACACATTTTAAGAAGCCTCCGAAGGGCAGGAGATGAGGCAGTAAAGAGCTCACTTAGGAACGAATGGTAGTTGTTTCATGTTTGGTCGCATTCCCATTAACAAGGCTGGGCCCATTACCACATTGACCCAACCAAATGAACCAGTGTGGTTTCCTGAGGGCAGCTATGCGGAGGGCAATCCCATGCCAATGCAGCAAAATGAATGGGCGAAGACCTACTTCTTGGGAGTGAACTTTGTCTTCTGTTGCCACATATGACCTTTTGTCACAAACCTGGCTGCAAATAGCTGTTTTCCGGAAAGTCAGCATGGTCTGTCTTCCAATGCACACAAGTGGGAACAGAAATTTGGGCTTAGACCTTTGGGAGTATCACTGTCAGTGACCCACATCTGAGGTCCAGCATGTATACTTCAAATGGCATATTTCTCCCAGAGGCTGCTCAGTTGAGTACCTTGTGCCTCTAACTTATCTGAATTTGCTGGTCCACTTCCAGAGCCGTTAGTGAATGTCTGAAACTACAGCTGCCTCCTCTGACACGCCAGACAAACTTGGCCACCATGATTCAAGGTGCCCAAAAGATTCAGAATGCTGTTGTCTTTCTGCTGAGACACTCGATGTGGAAGGCTCATCCTCATCGTCTAAGGAGAAAGATGGTAGAAGGCTCTTTCCCAATGAGATGCCTTTTTAAGCAGAAAGGGAGCGCTTAGAGTGGTGGGAAGAAGACCTTTGGACACCAAAAGGGTAGAAACGAGGGGTGGGGAAAGAGCCATACCTGCTCCGATGACCTCTTCAATTTTCACAAAAGAGACATCGATCTCCTTGGCAAACTCCCGCACCGCCTCGTTGGGGTCCTCGTAAGTGAAGGGGTCAATGTAGATCTTCATCCCTGGGGAGCCTTGTTGGAGGAGATAAGCAGGGTTAACATTCCAAAGCGTTCACGGTCAACAGTAAGCACTGGCTGATGCCCTGAACACTAAGGGCATCCCTGAGAGGACTTGTCCTATCCACTGGCTGCAACTGTCCTTTGCCACTCAGTCCGGCCTCCCCATCTCCCACCCCCAGGGCCACTCTAGCCTGGTCCTCTGCCCTCTACTTCTCCTCCATATTTTCTTCTTTACTGTGTGTGCTCTTGATGAAATGTGAAGCAGATTACTTATAAGTGACAGATCGGGACCAGTTCCCACACTGGCGCTCACAAACGGCAAGAAGCTGATTGATGCCAACCAAGTGCGTTAGCAGAAAAGTGGTGGTAAAATGGTAGGGGAGATATCAATATTTATCAACTTGACAACTTTCCTGAGTGGAGGCCACTCTTAGAGTTATAACCGAAGACCGTGATCCAGGACTACAAGAGGGATGAGGATGGATTTCAAAAGAAGGAAAGAAAGAAACAGTGATTAGAAAGCACTCACATTGGAAGTGCCAGAGAAGCGTACCAGAGAAGAAAACGCGAAGAGAAAAGCTTAGAAAATAAGAATCAAGAAAAGACCAAAGTCTACCTAGAAAAAGGAAAGAAAAATGATAATTGAACCCCTATGCCTTCAGACCACTGAAGTCGGAAATTGAGTAAGATGGAGAACAGGAAACACAGAAAGGAATATGTACTGTGTCACTGATGTGGCAAGATAAATAGGTGTGTATGGGCACAAAAGAGAATTGTCATTGCAGAAGGAAATCCATGCAAAGAGTGGAGGAGGGGGGACAAAAAAGTAAATGGAAGAAACAAGAAGCAAATGAATTCATTCACAAGGGTCAATGTGGGTGACGTGTCAGTGGGCAAAGAACAGAAACGATCCCCATGGTGGTAGAGTTGTTGGAAGGGATAGGGACTTGGAGAGCCAAACAGTCTGGTCTCAGAAGCTCATCCTTGGGGGAAAGGGAAATTCTGCCTCCAGCTGTGCTATCTAGGTCAGGAGTCAGATCAGCAGGGCAGGCCCTCAGGAAAGCCAGACAGCTTCACACCTGATGGCTGGGACCAAGGCAAAGGCTCCTGAGCTCAGTCTCAGCATCACATCCCACCCCAGCCCCACCTCCTCACTTGGCTTAGTCTCTGGTGACTCCCAGCCCTTCCCACACGCGCAAGTTTTGACATGTTGCACTCAGAATAACGGCCGAGGCTTCTCTACCTCTCCCAAATTAATGTTGCCCTAGCCCCCAATTCAGACAAAGAAGGAAGATACGGCAAGTGATTGAAAGGGAAGATTTTTATGCCCAAGAGAGCCAAGTACTCTGCCCCGAAGAAGTGTCTCTTCTTTTAAAAAATGTATTTTCCATTTGTTCAATTAAAATCCACCCCCAGCATGGTGGATGGCTTGTTTTAGGATGGTTAAGGCCATGCTAGAATATTCCTGGGGTGCTTTGGTGGTAGAAACATTTGCCGTGCTCAGCGGCTAACAGAAAGATTAGCATCTACTCAGCAGTGCACTGGAGTACAGGTCTGATGGTCTGTTCCTGAAAAAATTAGCCTTTGAAAGGCCTGTGCAGCACAGTTCTCCTCTGACACCCAAGAGGTCTCCGTGAGGTAGAAGGGACTCAGTACCAGTGGTCAGAAGGGCCCTTGGGAAGTTTGAGGTGGTACTGACTTTTGAATGTGCTGATTCCATTTGGACAAATCACGTGGGTCTTCATCTTTATGTTAGGATGTTCTAAACCCTGGAGGATGTGAAGAGTGTAGACATGCAGAGAGAGAGAGAACAAAGGCCAGCAACCAGAGTAGAACTGCTGCTGCGGGTTTTCGAGCAGAAAACCTTATGTATGTCTCCCTTGGAGTGACTGGTTTTCAACCGCTGACCCTGTGGTTAGCAGCCGAACAGGTAAGCCCCTATGCCAACAGGGTTCCTACCCTTCAGTAACAGTGGAGAAATAGGAAAATAGAGATGGGGGTAGGATGGACTGGTGGTCAGTCATCTCTTTTTCAAGAAAAAGTTTCTTGGATTAGTGAAACCACGCGGAAAGCATCTAGAGATTACAGAGCAGAACCTCCAGGCAGCCACTGCTTTGCGTTCTCCTCCCAGATGCAAACCTTAAACCAGGGTTTGAATGCAAGTGCTTCATCTGGGAGGTGATACTGCAAAGCACCTGTAGGTGCACTGGGAAGATGGGAAATGTAAGGCAGCAGTAGACATGTGGGCAACGGAAGCAGGTAGAATGATCGTGAGGAAGTGCTGAGACGCTGTGCAGAAGACCATAGGCCTCAGAGTCGGCCCATTCTAGGACTGGCCCAGACCAATTCCCACCAATCACTGGCTGAAGCTGCGTGGCCTGCTGTAGGTGGCCGGGGAGGTTCTCTGAGCCAGAGAAAGCTCTGGCGTAGAGACATGTAAATCGGTGGGATTCGGTCAGTGTGCACAGGAGACGAAATGAGGGCAGACCCCTTCAAAATGCAAAAGGGACAGCAGGCCAGTCTAACAACCCGTGACCTCTCCCCAAAGCTATGCTGGAGGAGAGCCAGGGTAGGGAAGAAAGGGCCCAGATGTTGGGGACCATGGGGGAGAGCAGAACCCCGAGGCTCCCACGGTTGTTGCTGGCCGTCGGTAAGTTGGTTCTGACTCACGGTCCCCAGTGGAGACTTGTCTAGGCTTTCATCTTCATGGGAACAGGATGCCAGGTCTTTTCTACTGGGGAGCCCCTGTGAGGGGTACCAGCTGCCAATCAACTGCTGCGCTACCTGGTTTCAGCACAGGGCAGTGAACTCACTCACTCACTCACTCACTCACTCACTCACTCACTCACTCACTGTCATTGGGCCGGTGCCCACTCACAACGACCCTGTAGGGCAGGGTAGAAGTGCCACGGGGACTTTCCAAGACGAACTCTTTATGGGAGTAGAAAGCCTCATCTTTCTCCCGAGGGTGCCTTTTTACTAGCCCTGCAAAATAGGCTAAGTCCATGCACCTCTCTTAACAGTTTCCATGGAGGAGCCGATAACATCCTTCTCCCAGGGAGGTTGTGGGATTAAAGAACATAATGGCAATAGGTTACTTTGCCTGGTGTATAAGTACAGTGTGGACTTGCTGACTTCTACGCTCATTATTATTATCATCATCAGTAAATTGTTCTCGGAAGTGTTTGGGAAAGAAGGGAAGAGCAGCGAGGTGGGGGGAGGGGCAGTGGGCGATGCAAGCTGCTTAAAGGTGATAATAGTTACTTAAAAAAAAAAACAAACCAAAAACACCCTACCTTGTTATTTTAGGTCCAGGGCTTTTAAACCATGTATGTTAGCTGTCCTGCAAGCACTCTTCCCTGGAAACTAATTAAACCATCTAGAATGTGCTGTGATGAACGGTTACCAAGTGAAGCCATATATAAGGATGAATGGGAGAGGTTTCTGAGCTAATGAGCTTTATAGACATTGGCCCCAATCAGTGCAGGAAAAGAGCTATTCCCAGGAGGGCGATGGCTCATCCCTTGATGGAGCTAGGATGGGATCTTTGAGGCCAGTAATGCACAACTAAGTGCAGCCAAATGGGAGAAAGTTCACACTTTGGTGACAACGGAGGCAATTTGCGCATAAAGGGAGGTGCACTACCCCCAGCCTCCTATGTGCCTGTGGGTACATGCCTGCACGTGTGTGGATGGTATGAAGTGACAACTGCTGTGCTGGGGACAGTGGTCATCACTGAAGTCTTTCATAAGAAACTGGGGAGGCTGCTTCTAGGTCACCAGAGAATGTCCCAATTGCTGCCTCTGGAGACCCTGGATGGGGCAAACGGCCACACCGATGGAAAGGCTGGTGGGGCCAGTCTACATAGAGGCACTTAGAAGAAAGGCCTGGCTGACTGGTGCTGGAGGAAGGCCGGCCACTGCCAACCCTCCCTGTGGAGGACAGCTCCACTCTGGCACACACAGGTCAGCAGGCGTCCATTCGACTCAGCAGCAACTGGGGCTGATACAGGGCTGCTGCATCTGGGCAACAGGCGCAATCCTTCCTCGCAGCAAGGCAAGCACTGTCAAGTGGGGCAAGGAAACAGGAAAGATGAAATCAAAGGCCCAACCCATTGCTCGAGCTCAATGCCTTTCCTCTGACGAAAGGGCGCTCGGAAGGACTGCCCGGGCCCTGGACCTGGGCCTCTGCTGGGCAGGAAGGCGGCTATTCTAAATCGGGAGAGTGATCTGGCCTGGGCACGTGCGCGTGACGGCTCCTGCTGTGCCTACCTCATCTCGACATGACACCGCTCCCAGACCTCGTGCCTGCGTGACAGCTAGCCGTTCTCAACCCCCAGAAGACGATGAGGGGAAAATGCCTCTGGCTAGGCGGAACAGGTCATTTGTCTTCTGGCTCATTTTGTGTTTCTGCATAAATCCTGCATCAGCCTGTTCCTGCTCCCACTTGCCAGAGAGCAGTTTTTAATTATCAGGAAAATGGTATTTAGCGCAATGAATCACCAGCCAGTGAACAAGGAATTCAAGTCAGCGACGGAGACAGGCACAGCCAAACATTTGGAGACAGGGCTCAGAAAATGTTCTCAAATTGTGAGTGTTGGGGAAACAGTATCAGCGGCAGTAATAGTATCAGCTGTGCTGTTATCTCAATAACACAGAACGTTTTTAAATGGTCTGCACAATACTTGTGCATGTAATTGTTACTGTTAATACTATGTGTTTAAAATATTTTGTAGTTTTCAATTATTTTTCACATAGGCTTGACACAGAAATTCTATGTATGGATCTAAATTTCTGATGGCTTGTGTCTTTAGAGAGACAAAGATCTTAACTGTTAAAATCTTCTAGTTTAGTCATATCTATTAACAATATAATTTGTACAGATATTCTTTGACCTCTAAACCATTTTACGCTAACCCTGTATCCCACATCAGATTGTCTACAGCTGTAAAGGGCAATCATCCAACCGATTCGCACATCTCAAACATAGTCCAAGATATTAAATATGTTAGG